GAACGCATAATGAACTGAAAAGGGAATGGGGGGAGGGGGTGGCTCACCAAGAAGATAGTAGACGCTCATTAAAAACACATTAACCGATTATGACATCATGGACACGTCTCACTTGATCTTTTCCCTTAATCATCAGTAATGAAGGGGAGCTTCATTCTGGTTGGGTGTTAGATGGCACGTTTCAGTGGGCCGGGCCGGAACTCAGGGGTCCCGGTACGTTCCACAACGGGGCTCTGCATTTGACAGTGGCTGGGTGCAGTATAACACATCAGGATGGGGCAGAGGAGCGTGAAAAGCGATTCAATCAGTGCTCAGAGGGCAGGGTGCGTCTCGCTGCCCTTGGGACGGGCCGGGAGGGGGGAGGCGACCGAGAGGTTTATCGCAGGCTGTAAAAGCTCACCTAAAGGATTATTAGATTTTTTTCCCCTTGTAAAGCAGAATCGAGACGCAGCCTAGCTTGTGACTGTGTTTCCCACTTTACCTTGACTTAGCTTTTGAGGGGGAGGTTTGTATCTCTAATTGATATACTCCAGGCATGGGTGCAACAACCTCAACATATTTGGGCGCCCCCTGCTGTCAACATGAAGCAACACCAAAGGCACCTGTCCCTTAAACTAAAACACAGTTTCTTCTGCACCCTCGTGTTTGACATCTGCTGGTTGCAGCCCCAAATCCTGTCTCTTGCTGGCCAGCTATGGTGTCTGAAGTGGACTGTGGCCCAGGACCACAACGAATGAGAAATTTTGAGTGGGGGTATGGCACTGTACAGCATCGGGGGTTAACGGGGGTGTCTCATTATCGCGGATTTCGCGCATTGGCTCTCGCCAGTCCACACTGACAGAAGTGTCGCTTCAATAATAACATACGGATGCTGACCTGTCCGTTTCCGTAACGCTTACTGAGGAACACCAATGCTCCTCTCATCTTGCCATCAGAGACGTTGATCGTCACGGCGGCCACTTAACTGCGGAGAGCTTGGCACGGAGCCTGCGTTTGGCACTCGGCCGCGGGCCGCAAACCCCATCCTCAGGATCGTGCAGCTCAATGAGGCCTCTTACCAGTTGGGGGGGGTAAAAATGGCTTCATCCCTCCCCCTGCCCGCTATGGGCCAATGAGGTCCTGAGCTCATGACGGCCTGTTTGAGAGGACAATTTGGAAGGTAGGAAATGAGACACTTTGCAGAGTTGATGGTGCTGGGGGGGGGGGGGGGGTGGTCAAAGGCGGAGTTGAGGCTGGGGGGCCAGACAAGATGAGTTGAGGTCTCCACACTTCCTTACAGGGTTCTGTTCTC